TTGTAAACAAAGCTTTTTAATATTTAGATCTTTTTTTTTTTTTTTAGATTTTATTCATTTGCAAGAGAGAGAGGGACAAAGAGCACAAGTGGGGGGAGTAGTAGAGGGAGAGGGACAGGTAGAGTCCACGCTAAGGATAGAGACCAACACTGGGCTCGATCTCATGACCCTGAGGTTATGACCTGAGCTGAAAACAAGAGTCAGATGCTTAACTGAATCAGCCATCCAGGCACCCCTAGATTATTTTCTTAAGTTAGATTTTTCGGAGGGGAATTTATTTAGGCAAAAGTATCATTTTTTTAAAGATTTATTTTTATTTTAGAGAGAGTGTGAGTTGGGGGAGGGACAGAGGGAGAGAGAATCTCAAGCAGACTCCCTGCTGAGCATGCAGCCTGACGTGGGGCTCAATGCCAGGACCCTGAGATCATGACCTGTGCTGAAATCAAGAGTCAAAGGCTTAACTAAGCAAGCCACCCAAGTGGCCCAAAAAGTAACATTTTTAAGGTTAATGTGCTATCCAAGTAACACATTTAACTTCTTAAGGCTCAGAGGAGTTGTAATCATTCTGCTTTCCATTTCAGGCCATCGCAAACCAACCCTGGGCTCAGAAACTTATGTTTAATAGTCCAGGGTTTGTGGAATATGTGATGGACCGGTCTGTGGAGCACGATAAAGCTTCAAAGGATGCCAAATATGAACTGGTGAAAGCACTTGCCAATTCCAAGACAATTGCAGAAATCTTTGGGAACCCAAATTATTTGAGGCTCAGAACTTACCTGAGCGAAGGTCCATACTACGTGAAACCTATTTCCACAACAGCCGTGGAAGGAGCTGAATGATTCCTTCTAGAGTCTAGACCATTTTTGACCAAAACTTCTCATAAGGCATTTGATTTCACCTGTATTTTACAAAAGAGAGTCTTCCCTTCCCCCAGAATTAACATGGAGTATCTAATGTTAATATATCACTACGTCTGTGGTGTTTCTACATGGAAGCATAGTGTGGAACCAGGAAAGCAGGCAAACTTGGTCTTCATGGCACCGGGTATTTTTCAGATTCCTTTGACTGCCTTAATCTTTCCAAGAAGATGGTGTTTTTGTTCTCCCAGAAAATTTCCATGGACTTACTCAATGTTTTATTTAAAGTTCTGCTTCAGATGGAATGGAACCAAATTGTTTCTGAATTCGCTTTACCACTTTTTTTTTTTTTTCCTTTTTGGTCCTTTCACCTTTCTGATTACACTGTCAAAGTCTTGAGTATAAATATTCTTTGAAAAACAATATGGAATCTTGAAATTATGTTCTCCATACTAAGAATAAATACTTTTAATATGATGTCTTTGGGTTTTTTGTTACCATTATATCCCTTTGGAAGATGGACAATAAATAAATCTTTTAAAAATGTTTCTAGTGTTCTTTGCTTTTTTTGTTGTTTGTCATTGACTTTTATTCTGTTGTGGTTTGGAAGGATTGCTAACATCCTAAAGCAGGAAGATTCCCCAAACTCTTGTTTTACTTATTGGTGGATCAGCATCATTGAGGGTTTCGCTTTTAATCTTTCAGAGCCATCAAGTCAGAATTGAAATGACCAGAGAGAGAGACGCTGACTCCTTAATAACCAGAGTCTGATGGCAGGGCACTATACAAAAACCATCTCACTGATTAACAAAGGATGCACTTTTCATTGACAAAGAAAAAAAAATGTTCCCACCTATTTCCATTGCGCTGCTTTCTAACTGGAAAAGCACTCTGCACACCAATCACCTGTCAGAGGTTTTGGCATGAGTGTATTATCAAGAGTGTGATTCAGAATCGAGAGGTAGATCTCTTTTAAGCCATAGTGATGTTGATAAACCATTCCCACTCTGTAACAAAGTGGTTCACAGGTGCCTGGAATTCCCTTGTCCCAGATTAATCATCTCGTTTCTATCATCTCTGATATCCCTCTGTGGGTGTTTTGTTTGTTTCCATGCTCATTGTTTCTCTATAGCTAATACCACTAATTAGGCTATAGCCAAGTCTTTCCTAGCCTGAGAAACATTCTATCTCTAAGTTGACTTTTGTTTAATCTCATTCATGATGTTGATTTTAGTCATTTAATGTCCAAGTTCAGAGAGTTCCCCTCTCTCCTACGTGTGGCCTATAAACTCATTCTGATTTTGCACCTGTGACTTTTTTTTTTTTTAAGATTTTATTTATTTATTTGTCATAGAGAGAGAAGCGAGAGCGAGCACAGGCAGACAGAGTGGCAGGCAGAGGCAGAGGGAGAAGCAGTCTCCCCGCCAAGCAAGGAGCCTGATGCAGGACTCGATCCCAGGACGCTGGGATCATGACCTGAGCCGAAGGCAGCCGCTTAACCAACTGAGCCACCCAGGTGTCCCTGTGACTTCTTTTTTTTAAGATTAAATAAAATTTGCAAATTATTTTATTTTGCATTTAATCAATAAACACTATTGACTGCTCATTGTGTGCTTGGCATTGGGAAAAGCATTAGACATTGTCCTAAGTGCTAAGTTCATCGTGTTGACATTTTTACATCTGTTATTTTGCTGATGAAGAAACCCAGGCTCAGAAAAATTAAGTAGGTTATCTCAAAATCATACAGGCAGCAAGCCACGAATAGTGGAAGAAAAAAGAAATTCTGTTAGAAATAGAAATAGAACATTAGTGTATAGTAAGTACAATAAGAGAGAAAAACAGGAAACACCTACCCTAGATCTGAAGGAAGGATTTCCAGAGAAGGAAGCACCTGAATCTTGAAGAACCAGTAGGATAGAGTCAAGTGAAAAACAACAGAGAGTAGCAGGGGAAGCAGAGGTCCAGATATGAAAACAAGAAACATTGGGAGGAACTGCAAGGCAATGTGACCAAAACCTGGAACTTAAAAGGGAAAAATTAACAAAATTCTTTACCATTATTACTAATAGTGGCTACTATTTCTGACAGATTGCACACTCCAGAGCTAGAATGCTAACCTGGCTTCCTGGTGGCTACTCAGATGTGTTACTCGATTATATTTTGAAGATATCAGCAAACAAATGTTTGTGAAGCATTGTTCTAAAAGCTTTTCAGGGGCACCTAGGTGGCTCAGTAGGTTAAGCATCCAACTCTTGATTTCAGCTCAGGTCGTGATCTTAGGATTGTAAGACTGAGCCCCACGTCAGGCTCTTGGCTCAGCGAAGAGTCCGCTTGTCCTTCTCCCTCTGCTTCTCTCCCACCCCAATAAATAAACAAATAGCCTTTCATCTATTAACTCATGTTGCTGTCCTTCCTCTCCCAGGAATAAAATACTGTTATTACCCTGTTTACGCATGAGGCCAAGGCACAGCAAAATTAAGGAACTTGCACAAGATCACAGATCAAATAGATGGAGCCAAGATTTGAATCTAAGCTATTTAACTCAGAGCATACGTATTTAAATGCTGCCTCTTCCTCTTATTGGACATTTACTATGGGCCAAATCCAATGCTAAATGCTTGACAGATCTCATTTAGTCCACAAGTCTGATTTTATACGTAAACTGAAGCTCAGATATTTTAGTCATTTGTCAAAAAATACGATCTAATAAGTGTAATGGCAGGGGTTTTCAAAGTGTGTTACTTTGGGGACACCTAAAATCCCAAGAACCCCGGGATGGGAGCTATTGATCTAGCACCTGGTCTTTATACAAGAGAAATCAGAAAGTGTGTTGTAAGTTTAATTGTGTCCCCCCCGAAAGATAATATTGAAATCCTAACCCCTGATTCCTAATGTGACCTTATTTTGAAATAGTTTTGCCAATGTAATCAAAGTACAATGGGGACATTTGGGTGCCAGTCCAATGACTGGTGTCCTTAGAACAGGGAAATTAGGACACAGCACAAAGGGAAAATTATGTGAAGTCACAGACACATAGGAGAAGGCCATGTGTGAAGATGGAAACAGAGATTAAAGTGATCTCTCTGCAAGCCAAAGAATGCTAAGTATGGCTGTCCACCACCAGAAGCTAGAAATGGCAAGGATTTTCCCTCCTATAGGCTTTAGAGAGAACAGGGTCCTGCCAACACCTTGATTTCAGACATCTAGCCACCAGAACTTTGAGCAAATACCCTTCTGTTCTCTTAATTCACCCAATTTGTGGCACTTTCTTACAGAATTCTTAGGAAACTAATGAAGAGTATACACATAACACAATGTGAATTTATTGCATCCCATCTGTAAAGCAGTGTCTAACTAGGACTTGATGAAAAGTGCTTTACAAAGAGAGATCCAAGTCTTTGGTATGGTTTAAGTTAACATATACTAGGTGGTTAATGCTTTTAAATTAAGTGTAATTCCACCACCCGTTACCAAAATGTTTCTTGCTTACATCCAAGATGAAAATTTTGTTCAACACATTCCTTAGTGTTCTCTTTCAATTCTGAGCATTCTCAAAAATCAGTCACTCTTTCTGTTGGTGAGTCATGACAGTTCCACAGAATATGATGTTGACAAATTCACTTACTGTAAAGAGAAACAAGACTTCTGGTTATAATTAATGTTCTCTCATTTCTGGATAAAAGGTTTTATTTTTTTTTTTTAAGATTTACTTTTTTTTTTTTTTTTTGAGAATGAGAGAGAGAGAGAGAAGCAGCAAGGAGGGGTAGAAGGAGAGGGAAAAAGAGTCTTAGGCAGACTCCACACCGAGCGCAGAGCATCATGTGGGGCTCGATGTCACAACCCTTTGATCATGACCCGAGCCAAAAACAAGAGTCTGACGACGCTTAACTGACTGTGCCACCCAAGCATCCCAAAAGGTTTTATTTTGAAAAGAATCATACTCTATCAACTTAAATATCATAAAATAAAATCTCAATATGATGTAGTATATCACAGCACTAATAACATTTTAAAACTTGCTAAGAGAAACTACAGAAACACAAGGAAGGAGGGACGCTTTTTACAGCAAGGTATGAGTTAATTTATGAAGAACACATTTATAAGAAAACGCCAAAAAAAAAAAAAAACCCACAAAAATCCCTCCTAATCACCAAAATACATGTCATAGTTTTTTATGGTATTCATGTGAAAACGTTTAAAGCTATCAAGGTATGTCAGAAGTTTGCAGGAAATGAGCCCGTAGTAAGTCTCAAACAGGGAACATTCTTTCCCACTGCTAATTTCCTCCCATGCCAGGGGCATTTCAGCATCTGTAGTTTCCAAGGACGTAAAAATGAACTTATAGCAACATCTGTTGTATCTGATGTGCTTTTTCCCAGAAAACCTTGAACTGTGGATGGGTATAAGGCCAATGGACTTGGCACAAATCCCTACAAACACATCAGCAGGAACCATTACGGGTACTTCATTGAAAACCACATACATCATCCGAGCCACATCTTGGGACATAATAAAGGCTTCACCACTGCAGTAATCTGGGTAGTACTTTTCTGGGTACTTGCTAAAAGGGACAAATTCTTGACTATTGGAGTCTCTGTTGGGTGTATCCTGATGGATAACTCTTCCCACATAGATATCCTCAAGGTGTTCTTTCAGATTGAGAAGATAGTCTACCAAGCTTGGAAGATTGACAAACATCTCTTCATCAACCTTGAGAATGAATAGGGCATTAGGGCAAAAAGTCACAACCCATTGCATCATTGTGATGATCTTCAGGGTTTGGTTCTCAGAAGTGTCCAAGAAGATTCCTTCAATTATATCATTATTCTTATGGGACTCTTCATCTATCTCTTGCTGGGTAGTTACCAAAACAGGCATTCCTAAAGCAAACAGTGTGAGAATGTGGTGCCCTTGGACACTGGTCACATTACCCCAGGTTTTCCTGATGAGGTCCCGCCTTGTTCCATTTCCTGGGCTACTGAAGATAAGAGAGAGTAAAAATATATTCTTCCCTTTACACACCTCCGACTGGCTCAGGATATAATACTTGGAAAGGTTACTTCTTAGGGGTTCCACGTTCAATTTTCTTGCCTTATCCTTTATTTCAAGAACTTTCATATCTACATAAGGCAAAGCACGCAAAAAGTATTCTTCCACAAAATCAGCCCCAAAAAGCAAGGCATGAAATAGGATAACATTAAATAGAATGAAACACCACTGGTGAGTCCGAAGTCTGCAGAATGTCACCTAAATAAGAAGAAAACACATGTTCATTCAAACTTCATCTCCATTCTTGTTTTTGCCCCCACTGAATGTTATAAGTACTCCTCACAGCACTTAGAAGTACACTATTTTAAGGGTTTCTGACTTATTTTTGCTGTAAGTCTCTCCTACCATATCATGGCTCCTTGGACAGGTGATATCATGCCTCTTTCTTCTTCAGTTCTGCAGAGTTCAGTGTTTGGTATGAGGTAGAAACTGAATAAAATGTTAATTGGTTGTTTTCTTCCTCGTTTGGATGAAAGCCTACTTACTAAATGCAAGGCATTGTGTCGGTCGCTGGAGAAGCAAAGAGGAATCAGACACAGACACATGATATAAAGTAGCAAGTGGCATCATTGTGCTAAAAACCTATAGGAAAATATATGATGTTCTTTCATGAAGTGAAACACTTGGATCGGTTTCTTCTCTAATTACAAAGGTCAAGGGCTAATTTTCCATGAAGTAGTTGCTTTTGTTGCCCAGTGAACAATGGCTACTATAAAACATTTATCTCCTTCCCGTATGATTTTCCAATTTAATCCAATACTGAATTCTGACATTGTCTGTTTTGGCAATGTCCCCTAATCCATCTGACACGTCTATCAATATGGACAAATTACCACTATCTGCATAGCACCCCTCTGGAGATCTAGGGTGGACCTATGCCAAGTTTACTCCACATCATTGAAGAAGATGGAAACTTTCCATCTGGAAGGGTAAATACAGTATTGTAACATAATAAAGCAAGGGAAAATTAAAGGAATTAAATTTCTACTGGAGCTTCAATTGACAAAGCTTCTCATAATAAAAGTAACCTCTTACTGAGCACTTGCAGTGTTCCAAGCACTGTGCTAAGCACTTTATATGCCTTAATTAGCCCTGGTAATGCTTTCAGATAGGTTATCTTCAAAATTAAGTTAAGCATCCAGGTTTCTTTACTTGCTGAAGATCACTCAATGGGTAAGTACAAAGAGTAATGTCATGATTTGAATTCAAGTCTGCAAAATTCCAAAGCTCACTCTTAACCCCTGAGAATCCTGACTCTCTTCCTTCTCCGTGTCCACTGAATTGGAAAGGAACAACAAAACAAAACGAACCCCTGCAATTATCATCTGAACTCCTTTCCGTTTGCTCAATTGCTAATGATTTAAACAGAGAAGAAACTTCAGTTTCCTCAAGCCTATTTTAATAGACATCAAATGCTTCGAAGATTTAAGAAGCTTACCTGCATGTTGTCTGTAAGCAATTTCAGGGCTTTGGAAATTATTGAGTCCAGATGCCAAATGATGCCCGAATGTAGCTCAGCATCATTCCAGTCTAACAGCAATTGAAGTAAAGTACTTTGTGCCCAAGACTTTAAGGATAAAGTTTCTTCCTAATCAGCTTGAGCTTTTGTCCCAGAATACCTGCTGGCTACATAGGAAAGCAAGTGCAGATTATGTTACAGCTAGAGTGAATCCAGAACAAAAGACAGAGAACACAAACCTGTTCAAATGCTCCCAACCTTGTGTACCTCTTGAAACGGACTCCTTGCCTTTATGCTGAATTCCTGGTGAAGTAAGTGTGGGAGTTGAAAGAGCAGCTCACCTACATCACCCCTCCACACATCATCACACAAGGAGAAATGTCATACAGTCTGTTTTGGAGTGTTTTCAAGAAACTAAACAATTGGAATAGTTCCTGCTCCCTAGTATATGCACGTGCAAGACATAGACTAAAAACATCAAGGAATAGTTGTCATCCCTAATGGGTGCATACTTTTTTTCCAAAGAAACATCATATGGTGAGGTTTGTTTAATGTTTGCCATTTTCCTAGGGCATGAATGTGTAGGAATTATTCCAAACACTGTTCCTACCAGCAAGCTGAAGAAAAGAAACAACATTCAGCATATTTTCATGTTCTTGTCACATAAACAGTTGTATTGAGCATTCTGTTTTTAGGCAGGGCTATATTTCATCTTTGTTTTTTCTCATGTTGATCTTCCTGCCTGCCACTCACAGCATTTTTTTTAATTGTTTGGCTAGGAAAATCTTATTACATTCAAAGTTGGCTATGTTTTCTCAACCACTGTCATGCAATCTTGGAAATTTGTTTCACAAATTGGGAAAATATAACCTAAAAAAATGCAAGTGAAAAGAAATTGTTTATACATTCTAAGTTTAGCAATTAAATAGGTCTTGTATTTAATTAAATACAAATCCTGTTTTGCAACTTTCAATTCTCAGCTATAAATTTTGTTCCCAGATCTCCTCTTGGCTTCAACTTAATTTGGTTTCTTTCTTTCTTTCTTTCTGTTTTTTAGACAGTTTGGTTTCTTTGTCCATGGGAAGGTCTAACAACGTTATCTCCAGGCAGCTCCATCTGGGATTTTCAGTTTGATTCATCAAACTCCTACCACACTGGGGTTGAGACACATAGGGTTGCTTGGTTTTCTTAATTTCCTTGGCGCTGCCTTCCCTTTCATAGAGGTTATCTGATCTTTGTGCGCATTTCTTCTTAAATTTTCTTATAATGTTGTCATCAGTCACTCTTTGGCTACAGAGACTCCCTTTTGCTCTCTTGAGACCTGACTTTCAAGCCATCATAGTGACTTCTATCTCACATAGTCAAATTTTTACTTCCCATGTTTTAAGGACACTAGATGAACCCAGGATGCCTGGAGTCTTGGCTATTCTCTACCACTAACTGGATACGTGACTGTCTTATTGTCTATATAATGTGATATATCTCTTGGACCAGTCTGTTCAACAGGTAGCCATTAGCCGCATGTGGCTATTTAAATTTAAATCCATTAAAATTGTATTTCCTCAGTCGTATCAGGCATTTTCAAGTGTTTAATGGTCACAAGCGGCTAGTGGCTGCCCTATTAGACGATGCAAATTAGAATATCATTGCTGAAAATCTTATCAGATGGTGGTGGTATAAGATAGGAGTATGTGTATGTGGTTTATGAGCCTTTACAGAGAGACAAGGAGAATTTATGCTTTGAAGGGGGCTTGGGTTGAAATCCTATGAAGCCAGTTACTAAGACTTTAGGCAAGATGCCTTTTGACCTCGGTTTCCCCATCTCTAAAAACGGAGCTAATAATAGTAACTGCGGTGTAGGGCTGCTGTGGGAATTGAGTGTGGTGACACAAATTGATTTAGGATACTGCCGGGGACATCGGAAGCACAGTTCTAGTTTTTTGACGCTTAAAGATTTATGCTTCAACTTTCAGTCCTCAGAAGGATGACATGAGGAAGATACTAGAACTACTATGCAGAAGAAGGAAATAAATGCAGAGAGGTTAAATAAGTAGGCCATAGACACAGCATGAGTGTAAGAACTGGGATTCGAACCTAGATCACCTGACTGTTCTTTCGCTCACCAATCCCCTTAACTTGCTTAATTATTCTCCTTAGCACTTGCTAAGACTTGCACATGCCTTGCTTAGTTATTTATCTGTCTGCCTCCCTAGCTAGGACGTAAATCCCAGGCGGTCCCTATTTTTGTGCTTTTCGCTCATTAACCCTATCTCCCAGAACAGTGTTTGGGAAATAACCGGTGACTCAATGGGCTGCTTGACTTGGGACACGTCTCTGAAATTCTCCTGCCTCTCCTCCGTAAAGAAAGGATAAAAAAAAGGGCCACACGGGGCAAGGTCAGGTCGGATGAGACACATCCCCGATACACAGCAAAAAATAAGTTTAGGACCAAGGTCCACAAGCCTAAGCTGTAGCGCGCACGCTCCACCCCCACGCCCTCCGCGCTCTCCCGGGCCAGCCCGCTTCCCCCGGAGGCCGGGGCCGGAAGTGCACCCGCGTCCGCTGGGCGCCGCGGGCGGAGGGACGCGCGGAGATGACGCAGGCAGCACCGGAAGCCGCTCCCCTGTGAGGTTGCAGACCCCGAGCGGCGGCCGCTGGTCCAGGTCTGTATGTGAGGCGGGGTCAGGCCGAGGACGGGGTTCTCAGGCGCCCGCGCCTCTGCTGACCAGCCGCGCCTCGGGCCGTTTGTCTTTCTTTCTCTGCAGGCGCCATGGCTGCGGAGCGGACCCGGCCGCTGCGAGGCTCTGGCGGCCCGAGCGCGCCTAGTCGGTGTGAGCCCGGCGCGAGGTCCTGGGCCCCGGGGCGCTCGCTCAGGTCAGTGCTGCGCGGAACACGACTCTGGAAGCGGGGGACCTGGGAACGACGAACGGGTTGAAGGGATCTGGAGTTGCTTTTAGAGATGGGAAAATTGAGTCTCGGAGTTACTGCCTGTTAGTTGCTCAGTTTCCTTAGCCGCGAAATGAGTTAACAATGATGTTCCAGGGCTACCATGACTTTGAAAGATGATGAAGTGTGGCGAGGTGGTTTATGAATTACAAAGCGCTGTATTAATGTGAGGGACTGCGCCATAGTTGTGGGTATGCGATGGAAACAGGTGTGTATGTGGGGTGCCGCTTGAGATACAGATAACAATATTAATGCTGAATAATAATGGTAACTGGCATTTCTTGGAAGCTTACAATGTGTCGGGTACTGTGCTAAACGCTTTACGTGCGTTATCCGACTTAATCCTCACAAAAAACCCTTGTACGGAATGCTGTGCGTGGTTGCATTTTACAAGTGAAGAGACTGAACTTGAGATGGGTGAAGTGATTTCCCCAGGGTCACTCAGCAACAGGTGGAGTTGCAGAGCCTGTAACACTGTTTCTTTCCGAGCTGTTTTTATTTATCTTAGAGCTAAAGGCGGTTTTATTTTACTTTTTAAAAAATATTTTATTTATTTATTTGACAGATCACAAGTAGGCAGAGAGAGAGGAGGAAGCAGGCTCCCCGCTGAGCAGAGAGCCCGATGCGGGGCTCCATCCCAGGACCCTGGGATCATGACCCTAGCCGAAGGCAGGGGCTTTAACCCACTGAGCCACCCAGGCGCCCCTAAAGGCGATTTTAAAGTAAATAGTATATTCACATGGTTTTAAATTCAAGAAAGAGCTCCTCGCTCCAATTCCTTAGCTCTCCAGTTTTCCTGGGAGGCAACCAGGGTTACCAGCTTCTTGATATTCAAATGATACCGGGCATGTGTATGTTTATAAATAACATGTTTTCAGAACCTCTGTACTGTAACTGCTGATAGTGCTTGATAAGAAAACAGGGAAGATGAATCCTCCTCTCCAACAACAAATGTCTTGCTTTCGTTCTTAACTAGGCCAGGTCCTGGTGGAGAAGAGGAAAACACATATGTGATGTTTTATCCAGAATGGCTGTCTCCAATAAAACCTAGGGGTATAGTTTTGTTTTGAGGGGGTGGGGGCTGAGAAAGATGTTAAGGTGCTTCCTATGGGACCCTGGGAAAGTCACTCCACTTCTTAGGCCATAAATTTCCTCATTTTATTCGTTAAGGGTGGTAGTACTGATACTTTCCATGAAGTTCTGATAATCCAGTGAGGTAATGTCTGTGAGTAGTACTTGAGTCTTTTAAACCAATACAAATATGAGAGTTGCCTGAGGGAACATAGGGAGCCAATGGCAGAACTAGAGATCAAACCTAGACCTCCCATCTTCCAGTTAAGGTGTCTTCATCACGCCACCCATTTCGGAGCCTTAGTGATTCTTAATATTGAGGGCAGAAGGGCAGGCTTAATGTTTAATCTGAAGTGGGGGCAGGGGCGGGCAAGACACAATGAAGTGTGGGTAGAGACAAAAATGCACCTAGTGGGAAATTCTAGCCTCAAGTCAATAACTGCCCTTAATTATAAAACTAAATCTCAGTAAGTTTGAGCCGTTGAGTTTTTCCTCCATGTGTTTTAAGCCATTTTAAGGGAAATTTTATGGTTAGGGTCATAGGGTTGAAAGGGATGTTGGTGGCCCTATGTTTTCCAGCCTTAGGGCTACTATCAGCTTTCCTGGCAGGTATTCATAGTGATAAAACTAAGAAAAATACCATGTGAGTTACTTCAGACTGTGTGTTAAGGATGTCCTGGCCCTGTTTCTGATTTTCGTAACTCTCAAAATGAGTGATAGCTTCCATTTTACAGATGACTGAAGTTTAGAAGTTGGTCTCAGAGTTGCCCATAATCCCATAGGAAGTGGCTGAATCAGTAGAAGATTTGACTGACTCCAGGGCATTTTCACTTACCTCATTCTGCCTCTGTTTCTACTGTCTTTGACTTTCCCAGCAATGGGAATCGCACAGCGTTCTGGAGACAGCCCTTACGTTATTGGGAAGCTCCTGTTGAATTGAAATCCTTCTTCATGAAGTTGTCCTGTTTGGGCCTTGTGCTGCCAGGAGTACATGATATTCCTAGAGGCTCTCCAAAAAGGTTCATTTTAGACCTGTGACCTTAAGAAAGTTCCCTCCAAAGTCAGTTGATTTTTTGTTAGAAAAGTAAAAACTGGTGGTTTTTGTTTTGTTTTGTAACAGTGCAGAGTAGGGTAAAAAATTATTAGGGGTTAAGAGAATATCTGAATCTCAGAAATGGCTGAGTTTTTTAAAGGTGCTCATTGGAAAGTTTGTCCCATAATCTTCTATGTTGTCATGACTACATTAACTTGGCATTCTGTAGGATGTCTCTTAGTTTTTGTCAATGGTGGAAACCTGATAACATTTTCATGGGTATTATAAATTTGCCTTGTAGTCATTTAAATAATAATTCAGCTTCTTATAAGCAGAAATAAGCATTTCTGTGATGGATGTGTGGATACTTCTGTGTGTGTAGGTGTGAGAGAGGAAGTCCTCCACACTTATTCCTGGGTAGATGTTTTGGTATATGTTTTTAATTGGCCAGTATTAATTAATTAGATTTTGTGACATTTTGTGAGTGTCCACAGAAAAGGATTGTTTTGACTTGCTATGAGTGGTTTTTTTAAAGTAAAAAATTTCCAGAAATGTTACAGATAGAATGTTGTTTGGATTCAGAAAGAGGAAGCTTGTTAGCTTGTTTTGTTGATAAAACTTTTGGTGAACTGATTATTTTTTGGCTGCCAAGTAAATCCATGAATTAAAAAATCCTGCCTAGCCCAAACCCTGAGGATTCTGGAGTATTATTTTAAAGTTCATTCACTGTTCCCAAAACCAAACTGTTAGGAGATAATATGATTGGAAGGTTTGGTCGCTTTTACTCTTTTGTGTCCAATAACATTCTTGCCAAATTTGATATTGAGAAATGAATGAAAATGATTTTTACTGACCTACATGAACAGAGTTGGAAGATGAGATCTGGCTTTTGACGTAGACTTGACCTAGATGACATATATGGGAAGGAATTTATTTTCCTCTTCCACATTAATTTGGATATAAATTTTTAAAATTAGTATGACAATCTTGTCATCTGGTTGGAGAATAAATGATCAGATAGAAGGAAGGTTTTTTTTAAATTATGGAAATGTTTAAACATATAATAATAAAAAGAATAAAAAAACCTCTGTGTACTGATCATTCAGCACCAACATCTATCAACATATAGCCAACCTTGGGAAAGATGTTTTTATGGATTTGCTTTATTTTTTGTTTTCTTTTCATTAGTTTAGTCCCTTTTGTCAAAAGTGGATTGACACCTTGACACAGTATGTAATGCTGTATATTTGTAAGGTTTTTTTCTGTTTCGTTTAGTCCTGGAGCAATTTGTCATTCTCCTAAAGGAGAAGGTGCTATAATCAGATAGTCACAGTGCCTCCAGATTTTATAACCAGGTTGTGGCTGTGTCTCATCAGAGAGAGACAGCTTGGTGTGGTTGGAAGAGTACGGATGGTGAGAGCACTGACCTCTGGCTTGTTCTGATGCTATTTTGATAGCTCTGTTGACTGTAGGCAAATCACTTACCTTCTCTGACTTTTAACTTCCTCCTCTGCAAAGTAGAGATGATGCTTCTTGATTTATTGGTATTTTCGAAGCATCGGGATTACTAATTTGACTTGTGAGGCTTCCTTGACCCTCACTGCTCTGTGTGGCACATGGTTAGGAGTTGTCACCAGCTCATATGAGGCTTATAAAAACTATGTAAGGACATGTAAGGCCTTTAGTAATTCATGTTCTAACAGGCTGTGCCATAAAGGAAGTAGAAGAACCAGAATACCTGAGCCATGTAACTTATGACATCTGCTTATGTTTCTTCCCTAAACCTTTTTGTCTGAACATCTATCGCAAAGCCAGTAGTCCGTTTTGTGATTTTGGTAACAGGTCAGGCTGTGCCTAGCATGATAACTAAAATGTCTAGTTACTGCTCAGGAGACTTGCCTTCTGGTTGTTTTTGTGATTTTAGTACCCAAATAGAGTGTACTAAGTAAACAGTGTTATGAAGGTTTTGATGGGTGATGGGGTGGGGAGAAGTATATTACATAGAATAAGCTATTTTATAATGAACACTTTGTAAATCTTTTACTGTGAAGATGCATGTAGCATGTGCTAGACTTCAAAAGGAGCAAGTCACATACACCTACATAAGTCTCACTGACTTGGGTTTCAGAGATCATGATTTATTAAAGTATGTTTTCTCAGTATGTATTTTCCTCTGTGTGCATGGAAGATTTTCAGATGGAATATATTTACTGTAAAGTTGTAATGTGGTAACTAAGCATAAAGTTGTAATGCCAAGTTTTTTACACTAATTTTCATTTATTAGCAGTCTTGCTTGAACAGTCTTTTTGAGCAGAACTAATACAATATTTTGATGTGCCACAGGTAAATTTTTCCATAACCTTATGGAGAGAAAGGACTTTGAGACATGGCTTGATAACATTTCTGTTACATTTCTTTCTCTGACGGACTTGCAGAAAAATGAAACTCTGGATCACCTGATTAGTCTGAGTGGGGCAGTCCAGCTCAGGCATCTCTCCAATAACCTGGAGACTCTCCTCAAGCGGGACTTCCTCAAACTCCTTCCCCTGGAGCTCAGTTTTTATTTGTTAAAATGGCTCGATCCTCAGACTTTACTCACATGCTGCCTCGTCTCTAAACAGTGGAATAAGGTGATAAGTGCCTGTACAGAGGTGTGGCAGACTGCGTGTAAAAATTTGGGCTGGCAGATAGATGATTCTGTTCAGGACGCTTTGCACTGGAAGAAGGTTTATTTGAAGGCTATTTTGAGAATGAAGCAACTGGAGGACCATGAAGCCTTTGAGACCTCATCATTAATTGGACACAGTGCCAGAGTGTATGCACTTTACTATAAAGATGGACTTCTCTGTACAGGTAAGAGACCCTGGAACTGTTTTGTTGTTGTTTTGTATTTCATAGGGTATAATTTTAGAAACAGAAAAAAATTACTCCTTAGGCTTGAGAATGGCAAGATTAATTATATGAGATATCTATAGTGGCATTCTGCCTTCCCCCATCCCTAACCCTTTCCTCTTTCCCTCTAGAAAACAAATCATTTTTATAAAATTGTATGAGAAGAAAGCTCCAGACATTCTTTTTA